CAGGACTTTAACTGCCCGTCCTGCTGCCTGCCTCGGCCCTCTAGGTGCGGACAGGAGTCTGAAAGGGTACCAGGTCCACACCCACAACTGTGACACACATCACTGCTGGCTGCCTTTTAATCCACTCGGCGTCATGCTCAGTAGTGGAGCGCAGTGCGCTGTGTGAATACGTTCCCCTTAGACGTGGAACTTACAGGAACATAGTATGACCCATCAGCGAGCCACTGTGAGAGATTTTGCTGCCATTCCTATATGTCAACCCTAGAGGGCATCGCACTGGAGTGGTCAGCTCATAATGGACCTTTGAAGTACAGTCAGCCGCAAAAGCCCCGTCAGCAGGTGAGCAGCGTGCTGACGCAGTGTGCGAAGTCTGGCATGTCATTGCAACACGGCAAGTTTTACAGTGGTGCATTGCCATGGGTGGTGGTGGGGGGGCATTATCTATGTATATAGTGCTGGGTTTCCTTAAATCATTTATATGGCCCGTCTGCTTGTTCCTTTTTTCCAAGTTCAGTCTTTCCTGGATTGTCTCCTCCCACCATTTGATTCCCGCCCCTAGCTCCTCCCACTCTGTGATCCCCCACCCCTAGCTCCCCCACTCAGTGATACCCTGGTCCTAGCTCCTCCCACCCCGTGATGCACCGCCCCTAGCTCCTCCCACTCTGTGATCCCCCGCCTCTAGCTCCCCCACCCAGTGATCCCCTGGCCCTAGCGCCTCCCACCCCGTGATGCACCGCCCCTAGCTCCTCCCACTCTGTGATCCCCCGCCCATAGCTCCCCCACCCAGTGATCCCCCGGCCCTAGCTCCTCCCACCCCGTGATGCACCGCCCCTAGCTCCTCCCACTCTGTGATCCCCCGCCCATAGCTCCCCCACCCAGTGATCCCCCGGCCCTAGTGCCTCCCACCCCGTGATGCNCCCCGTGATGCACCGCCCCTAGCTCCTCCCATTCTGTGATCCCCCGCCCCTAGCTCTTCCCACTGTATGATCCCCCGCCCCTAGCTCCTCCCACTGTATGATCCCCCGCCCCTAGCTCCTCCTGTCCTCATAATCCTCACCTACCTGGCATGGCGGCATGCAGTGTGACAGTGTGCTTGGCGGGAGGGGGATGTGGAGGAGATCCCACCCCCTGGCAGGCAAATCGAGGGCCGCTCACTACAGGGACCAACGTGGCATGAGGACAGGACAACCATCAGCAAAGCCATGATGGGGTGCAGACGGCTTATGGGCCGACCGCTAATCCAGATTTGGGAAGAATTTAAAGACAAGCTGATAAAATGGCTGCCATACACAGAGCACTGACTGTTAATCTGCCCGGACTCTGATGCCAATTAGTGCCAATCTGCGATCTAATGCTTTTCATAGATTTAGCGAATTAACTGGGGGTTGAACCCACAAGGCACCCCCCTGTCACATCCTGGGACATCAAGGGCCGCTTTGGGAGAATGCTACACGTTGGCCAGCCTTGGTTTTAACCCCATGCATGTCCATCTTCTCTCTGCCTCACTACAGTCTGAAAATTAACGAAATTCAGCCTGATTTATCCGTCAATCCTAACCACTGTCCTATCAACCTCTGTCCCCTCACCACAGACTCAGGCTATTAAATCATGCGTTATTTAATTTCATGCAGTTGCCCTTTACAGAACCACCAAAGATTTAAAAACAAAATTTAACCGAAGTTGAATTTTCATTTATATTTGTCTGGATGTGTGTTTGTCTGGCAGTGTATTCCCATTGGTCCTTTCATCTGTTTGTCAGTCTAGTAGCCCATTCCCATTGGGCCTTTCATCTGTCTGTCAGTCTGGCATTCTATTCCCATTTGATCTTTCATCTGTCTGTCAATCTGGTAGCCAATTTCCATTCAAGCCTTTCTTCTGTCCATCAGTTTGGCAGTTTTCTTCCATTGAGTCTGTCTTTTGATGCTGGGTGGCACATTCTTCTTGTCTTTGTCTATCAGTTTGTCCAAATGGATTTTCATGGATTAAATATTAATGAAGTCAGTCTGTCTCATTCTTAAGGTCATATTATTTTATGTGATTGTTCAGCAGGGGAAGACATAAACGAAATTTGCTCCAGTTTATCCATTTAAACCATTTCCTGCCTGTGTTGTTCTTTACGGTAGCACTCACTACACATTAACTTCCTGCATGTAATGCAAAATATATTCAATGCAAGAAAAGAAAAACTTCACTTTCACCTTCACTATAAAGGCTTATTACCACATAAATAAGCGCAACTTACACTTAAGTCTCCTTAAAATCTGAAGAACATTATTCAAACAACTGGACCCGCAAACTGGGCTGTACAAAACTTAATTATGCGAAAACACTTAACTGTTAAATTAACATGATCCACTTGGTAAAGCTATTTAAAAACCATTATAAATGAATACAGAAATAACTGTACAACATGCATTGTGTATTAACAAAAGCATCCAGTCGGTCTGCAAGATGCAGGATGTAATAGAGATTGGTGGTACATGTTTGTTGATTTACTTGGACCTTCGAGCAATCTGGTCTGTGATGTATATCAGCGGTGTGGAAACACGCCAGCATGTCGCCCATCTGCAGCCTTTACATGCACAGAACCGAGACCCCGAATCACCCAGTTGCTCTAACGCTCAAACCCAATATTATCACGGTTAATTAATGCACTGCAGTGCATGAACAGGTGTCCTGATGTCATAAACCACCTGTAACCCAGGAAACCGCGCACAGACACATTCCTTTGCTGCATTAGTCAGTCAATTCAAAGTAGCTAATTCAGGACAAGTGATCCATACATACATATTCTAATTGCTCAGCTAGTACAGGCAGCACAGTACATGAGGCAGAAGACCCCCTAGAGAGGATGCCAGTTCATTGCAGGACACACACACACACACACAGACCTGTACTCATGTCTTTGTGGGGACCATCCATTCATTTCTATGGGGAAAAAAACCTAATCCCAATATGACAACCTTAACCTCTACCCAGCCCTAACCTTAACCATAAGTAACCAAACAAAATGCAAGATTTTTGGCATGTTTAGTTTTTTCGATTGCAGTCACTGGTTTTTATAAAATTGGTTTTCCCTTGTGGGAACTGAAAAAAAATGGTCCCCACAACGTCAAAATAACAGGTCTTTATCACACACACACACACACACACACACACACACACACACACACAGGTTGGAACATATCTTTGTGGGGACTCTCATTTCTATGGGGAAAACTCTAATCCATACATGACTACCTTAACCCCTACCCAACCCTAACCTTAACCATAAGCAACCAAACTAAATATGAGACTTTTGGCATTTTTACTTTTTTGATTGCATTCAGAGATCTTGGTGGGGACCTCGAGGCAGCAAATCTTCGAGCTGAATAAGCTCCGTGACCCTGACTTTATCTGCTCGATTAAACATCTCACGTAGAGCTATTAACTGTGTCTATGCATTTTTCGTTACCGGGCAAGGAAAATTATCTAAGTTTTTAATCTTATACATTTCTGATAACATGTTTGTTGGAAGTTATACATCGTTTAAATAGAAGTGCATCAGTTAGCCAATAACAATAAAAGACAACAATAATAACAGACAGGACAAAGTCTTAGCGGATGTCTGCATTCATACACGGTGTGGGTATCTTATTTAGGATCGGAAAAGGCGGCTGACACAAAGGCACAGTTCATCGCCAGCAGACGGATGCTCAGCAGCCAGACCCAGGGGGAGCCGAATAGTCTCCCTTCTCAGGAGTTGCAGCACAAACTCGGGACGGTCTACGCGCGGTTAATCGGCGAGCAGTCTTTCAGCGCGCGAACTGAGTGACTATTGAGTGACACCATTTAAAATGCAAGGCACACCGACCTCATACTCGTATTTGGAATTTCCACATAAGATGCTATTCACTGGGGCAAGCAGTCTCAATAGGTAATAGACAGATACTGAGCCTCGCGCTTGTGTGGTTAAGCTCACATATAGCCTACTGCTCCTCTGTGCATGTGCAGATATGTGCTTCCGTTGCTCGTGCAATAGGTATGGGAATATCTGTGTGTTATTAAGTAGAAATGTCAGAAATGTCGTGCGCGTGTTCGCTGCTCTTCTGTCACATGCGTACGTGTGCGGTACTATATGTAACCATGTCGCACGCGTGTGCTTATGTGTCTGCTGCGCGTGTCCCTCGTCCGTGTGTGCGCGCATAGGTGCCCGTGGGCATGCTCGTGTCTGTAGGCATTGTGCCTGTCTTATGTTCTGCCGGAGTCACGATCAGACAGGGCTGTGAGGCATGTTTGCGCCCCCCAACGCCTCCTCCCCCGGACCATGTGGGTATAAATAGTATAGCGAACGACTGAAGTAGGGTGCACACCGGCAAAAAGGAAACAGTCTGTGACACTGAGACTGCACTGGGATACAGCGCTAAAACAGAGCCGTAGAATAAAACACTACACTCTCATTGTGGAAAACTGGTTTATGTAAAGAAAAGGAAGTAAATGATTTCCATTCATAAACTCGTTTCCTAAACCACATGATAAAGCACACATGGTCCTGCCATACATATATTCGGTGTTCTGTTCAGGCACACCGTTCAAATGACCGAATTATTTAACTGATTTCAACACTCGAAGGCAAGGGTCACTCCACTGACGTACAGATCCATTGGCGCGCACCCGTTCACCTCAAACAGCTGCCCGGAATCACTAAGACACAGGTAGTTATATAGGCATCCTGACTAAACACATAAAACTAGAGTTTGTATAATAATTACAGTTTGCCTTTTCATACAGGCATCCCTTGATCACCAACACAAAGCACAATGCCGGTAAAAACAGCGATGGTGCCGATCAGACATCGCCATGGTGAATGCGGGGCTTCGCTTTACATTCCGTAACTGATAAACTTGTCTACGGTTTAAGTGCAACTGGATAAAGGACTCACACAAAAACTTTATTTCTGGCACTTAAGTCCATTCATTATACGTTCTATTTAACTTTTAAAACAACAATGGAAAACTTACCTATTTCAGAAGCTTGATGAGTTCGCATCCAAATACGAGAAAGAAACGTGTAGGATTCACGTTTAGTACTTAGTCGTAGATGCGGTGCCGTGTTTTTATACTACAAACAGCATACAAGTTTATCAAAAAAAGAAAATCATAAAACTGTCGTTATTTTGCCTAGAACGGAGTGTTCTGCTTACAATGATAAAATAACCGTATAAATAACGATGCTCTATTGCTTAATATAGCGAGAAAGAAATCAAAACAATTTGCCGTTTTTAATTACCGAAATGTTCATGATATTGCAGTTCTTCGGGATCAAGTTAAACTAATATTAGTTAGCGTACTCATTTAATTAGTGTCATTTCGCAGAAAAAAACATGGAGTGTGATTCGGTGTGGACGATATAAGAATGCAATCAGTCCTATTTGTGGAAAAAAACGTTGCTTTCATTAGTAGACGTTTAAGGTCTTGTTGAAGTTAAATCCGTGTTGCAATTCAATACGACGTTAAAATCCTTCCTTTAATAGCTCATTCACAAATAGTGCTGAAACGCTCCTGACCTACAATTTTTTCCACTCGAAGAAATTTAAAGTCATACACGCAATTCGCCTCTTTAAATGAACCTGTTATATTAGTTAAGAAGTCGTACTGTTGTTTTACATAACAGGTTTTCAGAAGCAGTTGGTGGTTTCAATAACAGAAGCGATGAAGGAACTGATGATGATCCGTTTCGGGTTAGCGGCGCGTCCCATGAATCCCCGGTTCACAAGCGCCCTACGATAATGTTTTTGTAATTGTCGCCATTGCCTCTCCGCGAGACATCTTTTAAAATGCATTCATGAAACGTTGCCTTTTATTTATATTTCCTACTCTGCCCTTCCCTCCCTCCCTCCCTCTCCTTCTCTTTCAGCCCCCTCACGAGTATTTACAATTTTGCCAGCATAGACGTAAGCAGGCTGTCAGCGTATAGGGATCCGCAGATTCCGGAGTCAGACCTAAGTCAGCTTGCATGCACACCTACACAGTGTCTCTGACAAACACAGTCATTTACACACACGGACGGAAATAAATCCGCATGAGTACTGCTGACGAGCGAACACGCATTACAGGCAGGGTGCTGTAAATGTAGTTTAAGAAATATAATTCACGCAGTGAAGTTATCTGAGAAATAGACACCCTGGTAATAAAAAAAATCCGCTCTGTTAATCAATTCATTTACTTGCTGCTCTGTATTGATTCAATAGCCTATAATTCTGAAACCACGTAAGCCATTTACAGAAAAAAACATTCACACCGGAAAAAAACTAAAACTGGGACGATATATTTGTAATTAAATAACATTTAAAAGCACAACAGATATAACGTTTGAAGCACGTTAGACTCCAAAAGGGATGGACAACCTGAAAAAAAAATCAGTTAAGCATACCTCGAGGTACCCTTTAATACAAATTCCCACAACTCTTCCCAAACTAAATATCCTTCTTTCTCATTAACTCACTCATATGTCCTCTCCATTTGCTGGTTTTATCTCAGAGTTCTCCATCAGCCTCCTTTCCTCTCTCCCTCCCTCCCAGCCTCCCTTCTTCCCTCGCTCTCTCTCTCTCCTTCCCCCCTACCTCTCCTCCCTTCTTCCGTCTTGCGCACGCCCTATAAATAGATTCACCTTTATGCTGTCTGTTCCGTCCTGACTGTCTGATACGAAGGGAGGTTCACAGAAGAAGTAATCGGGAAAATCAGGGAGAAAGGTTAATGATTACAGCCGTAAACATAAAATTAAATGGGCACAGTGCAGACAAAAGAACAGTATAAACATGCACAAACAGTGTCGGCATTGCAGAGTTGTGATTCAGTCGCTTTACACTTTAGACCTACAGTCGTGCGTTCAAGAACTGAAAAGGATGGCGGTCAATGAGCAAAATCGACGGAGACTTCTGAGGAAAAAAGACGAAGCGAGACACCGATAGGACAGGAAGCGAGCGGAGAAAAACCGAATTATCGGTGGAGAAAAGGCATTTTCGCCCTTAGCTGACGGGACGGAGAGGAGTTCCTGATTGTCACTTAAGGCTTTCTTGTTTTCATCCAGAGAAAAGGAACCAGTTATATTCCTGTGCAGGGTACTATCTCGCTTTTACTCCGCCCCTTTATGACAATAGACTGGCACTTACACGCTTCTTAATGAAGCTGTCTGATAGTACACCAGGCACTTATAATTGTGTACACTTAAAGTTTGCCATAATGTAAGTATGGAGCTGTCTTTGTATTCTTATTGGGTTCTACCGGCGGCTCTGTTGACATCAGAATGACTGCAAATGGGTGTACGTGATGCCAAATCCATAAAACCGCGATATACTCATGACCACCAGATCCGTGGGCGTATTCAGAGCGGCCACGGTGCCACATTTTAACTATGAGAAATAAATAATTTAAAACACCAACATGCGTATAGGCAGATGATGAAAAACCTCAAGCAGTCCCACTCGCAGTGTCCCAGCCACACCCCGCTCCGCATTTTCGCCTTCACACTAACCTGCTACGCAGATTGAATTCAATGAGGTGGGGGGCACAGGGTGGAGGGAAGAGGCTCATTTATCACTAGCTGTACCTCAGTGGGCTGTGTCTGAATATAAATAACGTCACAACTGAGAGACACTCTGTATGTGAGGGAGAGAGGGAGTGGGGGGGGGGCGAAGAAAGAAAAGATAAAACTGGAGGCTGAGAAGAATAGAGGGGGGGTGGTAGAGGAATCCCTCTATTAATAGCCTATAGCAAGACGGGAGTGAGACGTGGAAAACAGAACTGGAAGAATATGCAATGGACTGTTTAGGCTGCATTCAGTTACACATGTGAGCCCAAGACAGACCGCCTACGTGTAGCATTTCAAAGCTTTAGAAACATGCATTTAATTACATAGACCTAAATCCCATACGTGGTCTCAGTCCACAACAGTGACAAGAGTGCCTTGTTTGATCTGCTAAACTGTTTTTCGTTTTTCTATACGTAGGCCTACCTGGTCAAACAGAGGGTGCATGCTCAAGAGAAGGAGGTGCAGTCAAAGAACAAAGACCTTTCAACCCAACTGACGAAAGGTTTTAACACCAGAGGTGAAAATTCCTCTCAATTTTACTTTGAACGGTCTGTTTTTTCCTTTTAACTTTCCCTGTCGCAGATGTTTAGAAGTGCATCCCGTAAAGCCGGTCGGATTAATATCAAAAGCATAGTTCAAATTTATCACACACCCCGAAATCCCGACCAAAACAATCACGAAGAGGGTCAAAAGGTAAACCAAAAAGCGACTTAGGCTCCATCTGCCGGCGACAAAATGTATCACTTTTTAATTACCGTTATACCGGTAATTAATATGAATTGCATTATATATTTTATGAGCCAAGGATGTGCATGTCAGACAAACTTACTCATTAAGAATATCGCAGTTTTCACACAGTTGCCTCAGGCATCTTCATGCTTCATAAAGTTACTTTAGGGCGTCTTGTTAAATGCGATTTATTGAGCTGGGGTGAGTTTCCCGAAGCGTTCTTAAGGCTACGTCGTTCTTAAGTTCTGTGTTAAAAGATAGAACTAATGAACGACGTAGCGTTAAGAAGGCTTCGGGAAACTCACCCTTGGTCATTAATATTTTCCTTTAGCCTGCAAACTTAACCAAACAACTTTATGATACATTACATTTTAGACTGTATAGGGATCACCTCTCGTATTCTTTATGTATCTTGCATGCTTAATATGAAATATTATATAATACTAGATAGATTTATAAAGCCTAGATATACAGTGCTCACAGAATGTCTTGGGACGCTTGCTTAATTTAGTTAAAATGTTGCACTTTATTGATTTAATAACAAAAATCATTACTTAATACATTTGATTTTTTACAAGAATAATATTATTTAGAAGATGGTGCATTCATGTCAAGTAGAAATAAATTGATAACCAAATGATAGTTCTAAATGAGCTGACAGAAAGTGTTGGGACACAGCTGATCTGAGTTGAAAACCTTATTGAGAAACAGTCAACCTGGGTGCATTTTAGTCAGTAACACCTTTCCAATAACATACAACATCAACTATTTCTGTTTAGTATCCCTTTGGGAGCCAATAGCTGCAACTGTAAAGGCAATATAGGCCTATAAAGCAAAAAGACAGGAACTGAACTGAATCTGTCAGTCAAAAAAAAATGATACTTAATGAAAAGAAAATGTCTATGCTGATATGTTAAGCATTTCAAAATCAAGTGTTCATAAGGTCCTGAAGCACTGGAAAGAAAGAGGAGCTCCCTTGAACCTTCCAAGGTTCGGTCGCCCGAAATCCACAAACTCAACCGCTGACAGGAAACTTATTCACATGGCTAAGAAAGACAGTAAATAACTGTAACACAAATTCAGCAAGAACTTAGAACTGTAAATGTCTGCATCTCAGCACAGAAGATCCGGTATCGATTGCACACAGCTGGGTACCACGGCTGAAGAGCGTGGTGTACGTCTCTCATCAGCATCAAGAACCGAAAGACAAGACTACGTTTGGGGAAAATATCATATTAGAAAACCTGTTTTATTCTGGGACCACATATGGTCCCTATGAACTGATGAGACAAAGATAAACATGTTTCAGTCAGATGGAAAGGCAAATGTGGGGCAAAAGGAGGGAACTGCTGAAGATCCTAAAAACAGCATATCCCCCGTGAAGCAGGGTGGCAGGGTGATGGTATGGGCGTGCATGTCAGCCTCAGGACCAGGAGACATAGTAATTAGTGATGACATGACTGATGATGGTCCTCATGTAATGAATTCAGAAACCTATAGAAAAATATTAAGCTTGTATATATTTATATAATGGTGCTACACCAGTGGGTTGTGGGTTTGTCCTGCAGGCCGATAATAACCCAAAGTGTAGAGCTACATCCAGTTGGAAGCTCACCACAAGGTGGCCATCGCAGAGCCCCGACTTAAAGCCAACAGAAGAAGTGAAACTCCACAGTGAAAGACCAAGGAAGAAGGCTGAGCTGAACGAGAAAGCAAAGCAAGCCATGGGTGAACCTCCGTTCTGAAAACCACAGCAAACCCGTGTCCATGTCGGGATGACGTCACGCTATTGTTAAGAAGCAAGGGATATGCAACAAAATATCAGCTATTTCTTTTAAAAAGGCTTTAACTAGATCTGTTCCAGCACTTTTTGTGAGCTCTTTAAGAACTATGATTTCATTTTCAATTTAAAAGTACTCAAAATGAACACTTTAGTTAAAACTATTCTGATATTTTTGTAAAAAGTCAAATAAATATTTTTTTGTTTGGAAAAACAATTAATTTGAAACATTTGCAATGAATGAAGGAAGAATCCCAAGACATTCTGTGAGCACTTTATATTTTGCATTTTATTGTGTTCTGGAGGATGTTCCTGTATTTTTATCGTCAGTGGCGAGTTTTGCACGATACTACCATCTAGTGGTCGACTATAGTGGTGAGTAGGTACTATGGTTTATCGGTTAATTTTCTCTTGTAGCCCTTGCACATTATCTTACGTTGTTTTCGTTTTATATGGAAGGCTTACATTGTAAACAGCTGTATCATTTGTAGTGAGCTTTGCACTTGTCACAAATAAACTCGTCATACAAAAATGCGAGTAAGCTTTCCCCAATAAAGCCATGTCCTGCATTCCACGCATACTGCTTAATTAAAGTCGATTGAGTGTTTAGTTGATTTGTAATAGAATGGTAGAATAAGCACAATATTAAAGAAACTAAAGGGAGGTCTGTTCCAGTTACAATGCACAAAGCTATAAATAAAGGGTGGGCGGAGTGACCACGTGTCGGCTATTCTGGAAGTTATGGTGGAGTGGGGCGGGGGGCTTTCTGTATCAATGCCATTTTTTTCCAGTACACATAAAGTGTACTTTTGTCACGGCATCCGTACTTAATCATTTCTTTGCTAGCAAATAAATATCAATGAATACGACTACCGCTATAATAAAGGAATACAACAAAATTTAAATAGGAGTGTACGGTCAAGAAGCCAAATCTTTATTTTAAAAAACAGTGCAGAAAACACACCAGTTTACATTATGTCATCAAAAAATGTAACTAAAAACGTTTCGCTTTGCAAGAGGCACAGAAGGAGGGCGTCGCGGAGCCCGGGAGGCGCCCCGAAAGGGCGCAGCACAGCCTGCTTTCCGATTGGCTGCAGGGACGGGGGAAGCGGAGGTGGGTCTCTGACGTACGACTTTGGGGAGTCTCCAAGTTCAGCAAAACTTTTTAAATGAGAAAGTTAGTCGGTGTGATTGTGGTCAGTAGGTTTATACAGGGTATTTCAAAAACCAACCTTTTACCCACTTTGTGCTCCTAAGTCGTTTTTTTGGGAATCGATTCGAGATCAGTTACAGTCAATTTTACGGCTTCCAAACAGAAGTTCGGGATTTTAAGCACAGCGTGTTGGTTTAGGCATTCTTTGCCGAGACTTATTAATAAATGGTGAATTGAACCCAGCAAAATGAAGATCGAGTTTGCTCCGCTGAATATTCCCTTGGAAAGACGCCTTCAGACGGCGGCTGTCGTTCAGTGGGTTTTCTCCTTCCTTGCTCTGGGTGAGTAATAAATACTAAGTATTTAACCATCTATATTGTATCCCTCGACGCATTGGCCGGTGACCATCAGCACGCTTTTCGGCTCGCCTGGTCCCTAGTAACTGGCTGCTGGTCATGCCTTTCTCAGTCCACCATGGCCAAGTTCACCAGGCAGATTAGGCATGGTGGTGTTTAACTTACCGTATCACTAATACAGCATTGTGGCGAGTAAGGGAAGGATCGCTGTTGCTTTCAGCTTGAAGATATTGTGACACGTAACTTTATATTGAACGTAAATTCCTTTTTACAATCCCGCCCACTTGCAACTATTCATGTTCCATAACCGCCTAACGAGGTCACTGAACCTGTAGTTTTCCCAGTAAGCACAGGGCACGAGGCAGGCGACAGCCTGGACGAGACGCCAGCCTGTTAGAGGGTACACACTTTTGTAATCAGCTAATTTTACTGACACCCATTCGCGTATGTCGTGTGTTTTTGGTCTGCAAGGGGAAACCAGAGTCACCCTAAAGTACATAGGGAGAACATGCAAACTGTCGTCAAAACGAAAACGTAAGTCATGATTTCAGAAGCAGTGTAGCACTCATTAAAGCGGTATTGGAAAGATGCCTCGCCTTGCCTGCCTGCCTGTTTTTGATAGCCATCCTCGCCTTGCTGACTCGTGTTCCCTCCCCATACCGGTCCCTCCTCCGCCAGCCCAGTGCTGTTTGGCTCTCTTCCTACTGCTGTGCCTCAGCCAGTGGTGGGTTCTCGCAGTGCTCTACGCTGGCTGGCTCTACCTGGACCGGGACACGCCCATCAGGGGCGGGCGCCGCTCCCGCTGGGTCCGCAGCTGGGCGATGTGGACCTACTTCAAGGACTATTTCCCCATCTCGGTGGGTCCTCTTGCATACATACATGTTTATGCATCTTGTCTTTCTCTGTCTCCCAGTTGGGTTTCTGGGTTTAAGTCCTCATCTGTCACAGGAGAGCAGAGGCTTTATGTGATGCTAATCATTAGTCAAAGTCAAGTCAAAGTCAGCTTTATTGTCAATTCTGCCACATGTACAGAACACACAGAGAATTGAAATTACGTTACTCTTAAACCCTTAGCCGCTGTTAGCCTTTGGTCTTTAAATATTTAGCTTAGCGTGTTTTCTGCCAGATGAAACTGCCACTGGAGAATAACTCTTAATTTCCTTTATCTTGTATAAGTAAATGCATTAAAAAAATGCTGTCGATGGTGTTAAAATGTCTTTCATCTACAGCTGATCAAGACCGTGGATCTCGATCCCAAACGCAACTACCTGTTTGGCTTCCATCCCCATGGCGTCTTGGTTGCTGGGGGGTTCGGGAACTTCTGCACGGAGGCCTCTGGGTTTGCTACCCTCTTTCCAGGCCTGACCCCATACTTGCTGCTGCTGCCTTTTTGGTTCCGGGTTCCATTCTTCAGGGATTACATCATGTCCGGCGGTGAGCACCTTCTTGTGTCTCCTCTTAACCATCGAGGTCACCTTGGGATGGGAGTCGATCCTTGTGAGCTTGATTTACCAGCCCCCCCCCCCCCCCCCCTCCCCCCGTAACGTTGTTCTGAACACCCTTGAGCTATGGGCTGGTTAGTAAAACAGCAGCTTCTGTTTACTTGAGCTTAGGCTGGTTCATATTTGTGGTGTACATGTCTTTCAGAAGTACTGTGTTTATTATTCATGTGTATTAACGTATTCTGCAAACAACGTGAACATTGCAAGGAAACCAGCGTTCAGTATCTAAGGGAAGCATTGTCACTGATGGCTGTCCATCAGTTTTCCATAACTATTTGCATAGTACATGGTCAAGGGAAGCCAGCGGCCTTTACCTGGAAGTAGAGGGCACAGAGCAGGGGAACATACTGGATGGGATGCCAGTTCATTAGAAGGCATACAGGTCATATTCATTGGAATGCAGAGTGCATGCATTGATTGGCTGACGGTACCATCGTAAACCTATCAGAAGGCTATAAATCTTATCCAGTAGAATGATTCAACTATGGGGAACCGAAGAGGTTGACCAGCATGTCCTTTAAAAAAAGCCATGTCTGCTCACTTGGTATAAGGTGGTCAGATTAGTTTGAGTAGCGAATATGTAACTTCCTGTTTGAGTTGCTTACCTACAGACTTGATTCGACAAGGAGAGGAAGCAATAATGAAGCTATAATGAAAGCCCCCCCCCCCTGCCATCGTAGATAGTGATTGGTGTGGCTGCTGATTTGTCTTTCACCTTGCTGTGGGTCATGTGTTCCTGGCTTTGAGCCCACTTGGTAAAGACAGGTTGTGGGGGGGTGGATCTGCATGTTTGCTCAGTGACGGGTTTGAGTTCTCTGGCTCGTGTTGCGTAAGGGGACATTGTGAAAACTCTGTTGAAATGTTTGAGAGGTTAGACACTGACTAATGGGACTGCACTGTCACACGCTGCTGGGTCGGTGCAGGAACGCTGCTGGATAGGCTGTCATTTTGGAAAACATGGAGCTGGCATCTGTCTGTGATTCCCATGTTATCAGTATATACCAGGACAAAGCTCACAGTGGTGAACAGAGATGGAGAATTTGTGTGGTTAGTTAGATGTTCAATAGCGTCCTTAGATTTTTACTAGCAGCAAAGACGATTGGTCACATGACAGTGACTGACAAAGAGGATACCAGTCATCCCATGAAAATGACCACTGGAGACGCACCTTCATCATGAACCAGTAGTTGGCGCATCTTTAACCCCCCTGCCTTTGTGCTGTTTGACTCCATGCAGGTCTAGTGTCCAGTGAGAAGAGCAGCGCAAGCTACATCCTAAGCCAACCTGAGGGTGGTCATGTGGCAGTGGTGGCTATAGGGGGCGCTCCAGAGTCGCTGGATGCACGGCCAGGGGCCCTGAAGCTGCAAGTGCTCAACAGGAAAGGTTTCGTCAAGCTGGCTCTCAAACATGGGTACGAGATCTGAAATGGTGTGTGTGTGTGCGTGTGTGTGTGTGCGGGTATTGGACAGACTGGGTAAAAAGCGTGCCCATAATTTTGGGTGGCTCTCTTGCATAAATGCTTGTCTGTGTGCTTCTCAGGGCCCAGTTGGTGCCTGTATTCTCATTCGGGGAGAATGAGCTGTTTGATCAGATGGAGAACCCAGTGGGCTCGCCGCTGCGGTGCCTCCAGGAGCGAATGCAGAAGGTGATGGGCGTGGCCCTGCCTCTCTTCCACGCCCGGGGCGTCTTCCAGTACAGCTTTGGTCTGCTGCCCTATAGGAAGCCCATCCATACAGTTGGTAAGAGAGAAGGGAAGACAGGCCTTCAGGGCAAAGACCACAATGTCACGTGTGATCTTTTGTTTGATAGAAGCTGGCTGGAAGGTCAGAGTACGATCTTTTCCTCACCAAACAAATGTCCCCCTCTCCTCCCCTGCTACCTAGTCGGCCGACCCATCCAAGTTGTCCAGAACCCCTGCCCAAGTCGAGAGGACATTGATGCTCTCCATAAGACTTACCTAGATGAACTCACCCAGCTCTTCGAGGAGAACAAGGCGAACTACGGCATCTCGGAGGACAAGCACCTCACCTTCATCTAATGTTTGGCTTTCATAAGTCTCTCGGCATCTATCTCTTCGGTCTCCAGCCTCTGTCATTTTAATTATCATTATCCTGTTACGTGAAGAATATAGGAAAATAACATGGGGAAGATTACAGCCAATGTCTGTCTGAATGGAGGAGAAACTGTTTCCATTACAGAGGAATGAAACACTACGTAAAATATGATACCAACCAAATCCTAGGCAGCTGTGAATCTTTTAGGATAATGCCTATTGAATCAGAAGGTCGTTCTGTGTTGTCTGTCTCAGGAATGAGGTGAATGTTGATGTTCTTTAACATTTGCAATTTTCCATAGTATTGTTGCCCCTGTTATTGCCTGTTGCATTGAAGGGTACTTAAATTAAAGTAACTGAACACTGGTGCCCCTTGTGTGTTGGTTAGCTACTTTCAGCTGGGCTGAAACATGTTTAATGGAGCCGACAACCAAGGTAGAGTAACAGTCTTGTCTACAACCAAATCAGAGGTACAGCATTTCATGAGGGTGAAAGTAGGAGCATGAGACCTCACCAGGAATCAAGGGAGGTCATTGCACACCTTAGAGGAGTGTTAGATCTTTCTGCTAACCCAAGTTCTCGCCCTTTGTACTTCTCCACATCCTCTATCTGCACCACTCTGGACTCGTTCCTTCTTGGCCTTTGGGTATTTGCGTGGACGTCTAAATGATATTCTGCTTGTGTTGCGAGCAGCGTAGGCTTTCCTGTAAACGGGGAAGTTTGCTGGATTTCATGGGATAATTCATAATGGGGAAATGTGCAGGAAGGGGGTCATGACCACATTAGGCAGGTCTGCTCTGTGACATTTCACTATGACTAAGGTCAATGTCTTGGAGCAGATGGTCAATCAAGATTGTGATGATGACAAGGATTCAGGTCCTGATGGGAGGATGAGGGCTTTGGTATCTCGCCTGTGAGCATGGTACTCTACCGGAGTTAAAATCAGTTATATGTATTTTTTTAATCTTTTAAGAAGGAACTAAACTAACAGTCCAGATATCCTATTTCATATAATCAATTTTAAGTAATGGGTGACCGACCTTTTTTAATTTTTTATATGGGTATTCTGACCTGTAGCAGTAAATTATTTAGAAATCTCAAATGTCTTTTGGTCATAAGTGGATCACGGTAGGAGGCAAATACACAGGGTGACCCTGTATGTTATGGGTGTCATTGTTTGATGAGTGATTGGGAAGAGCTGAGCGCCATCAAGTGGCAGAAATTTCTCTTGCCTGACAGCCGCCAGCTCATTACTTACTGACTGTCAATATAGTCCATCGCTGCATTTTTTTGCTGGATTGATTGTTCTGCAAACACAGCACAAAGATTAAACTTTGCTGCATTGTAATACTGGTACAAATAATGTGAGTCCCATGTGTGTGTTATGACTTTTTACAATTTGTCATTGTTCATGTGCGTATTGTTGTTCTGCATTAAAGATATTGTTCGATTGTTGCACTTTGTGCATATATTTTCTGCCTTGATTGGTTGCATTAAACTGGACAGTTGCTTGTAATATTTTGAAAGGCTATGAAATCTTGTGAGATTTTGAAATGCCGTACAATTTATTTGAGGGCAAGCTGGTGTGGCAATCAGACAAAGGAACTGATCTAATCAAGTGCCATTACTGCAATACTGCGGGACCCACAAAATCATCATAAAATGTATAGAGGTTATTGCTGCCTGGTAAATGGGTTACAGTTAAAAGAGAAAACTGTACAAGGGATAAAAGCAAACCACTGACTCCTACTGGAACACTGGACAAGAAGATTAAGTCATCTGAGGACAACGGGGAGCACAGTGGTACAGTGACTTGGGATTTTGTCATACTGGCTGATGTTACAGATATCTGTTCATAAGGCTTTGTGCCTGATCTCTGATGATTCCGGGGAGAATCTGTGCAAAGGGAACAGTGGGTCACGTGACCCATAAGGCAACAGTAGCCTGGATTTTATGCAGAGTTTAAACCAGGGGTCTCCAACTCCGGTCCTGGAGAGCTACTATCCAGTCGGCTTTCTATCCTACCTGGCTTCTGATGAGCCACACCTGTTCTCAGGTAAATACCAGCAACAAATCTGAAACAAACAGGTTCCTGATCCAATAATATTAAAGCTTGAGGGGATTCTGAGGACTACGTGAGCATAAACATCAAGCCCGTGCAAATAAGTTGGGTGTGAAACTGTGAGTGATTCCTTACCAAGAGGAAGCACAACTGAACAACTAGAGGCGCTCTTCCACTGCCACTGAGAACTGAGCTGTGCCAGAGGCCTACAGCAAACCGGTAGCTTCCCATTGTAAGTTATGCAAGCCGTACCCACACTGACATGGCTCTACTTACCAGCAAAGCGAAAAACGTGACCAAACCGAGCTGGCTGCACCACCGCCATCTGATTGGTTGGGATACAGGGAGATACAGGTGTTCTGCATCAATATGCATGGATTATCGGTAGGAAAAATCATATATTCTATATATTATTCATTATTAGTAGAATTGCACATCTCAAGGTATTTACACATCCCTGATAACTCAGAACTTAAAAATTTCCAACTTCCTACTTTAGTATTATAGAACAGCATGGATTCCTAATGCAAATGTTTGCAAGCGCATGCTAATTCTGCTAAGCTTGATGCTATCATAAGACGGCCATTCTTCCAGACATGCTAGCGGATATTAGCACATAGTTATTCGTGATGTACTCCGTGTGGACAGTAAATAAGCATCTCTTTGGTTTTACGTCTCTGTTGCTGTCCAAGCTCGGCAAACCCAAGCGAGCTGCAAGTGCGCTGTAAATAGACCCTCTTCGCAGTACACCCCAGGTTCGGCTCGGTTCGTGTATGACAGTGGAAAAGCGCTGTAAGTTAGCATGACTGAATTTCATTTGCTAAAATAAAGCTGTCGAGATATCCCAAAGTGCAAGATTAAGTAAGAGAACTTGGTGTAACAATCTTACTCTCTGCACCACACTCTGAAAACGAGAGACTGCCAGAGAATCCCAAGAAAGATGGGGAGGGGGCTCAGTGAACATGGCGTGAGGCAAAAACTGCCCCTTTTAAATCTGCTTTACGTGCAGAGCCGTCAATCAGGGAAAGAACACAACAGGCAGGCAAACTGCAGCAGGCACTTGGAAGTGATTAAGGTACGAATGGAGCCTAGGGCCACTCAGAAACTCTTCAGTACTTTCAGATCATTGCAACTGGAGGTTAAGGTTTTAAGAAGCTCCTTTACAGAGACACAGGCACCGGAACTTTAAACAATAGAATACCTTTGCATCATAGCATTATTCCTCATTATCTATATTCTGAGTAAATGATGCAAATGTAATGACACAGCTTGGCTATTAATGGAGGGATCGGGGTGGTATGCTACTCAGATTCGATTCCACGGCCCTCTTGCCCTTCGTCCAGCACTCGTCCAAAGGCACATTGTGCAATTTGGCACAGAGGTCGACATTGCTGTAAGAGCGCAATGAAACTGACAGAGCTGCAAAGGCTGCTGGGAAGGGAGAAACCTGACAGGCCAATAGGAAGATGGGTGTCATATTCATCAGGGGCTGATAATACCTGCGCATGTGGGATGCGCTGAAACAAACATTCTATGCACCACCAGAGATGTTTGTAATACAGAACTGCTTTCCCAAGTGAAGGTTTTCCTTCAAAGGACAGTAATAGGGCCATAGAGTGAGGTGGTCTGAGAAACTACAAAGAATCGGAGCCTTCAGTACAACATCCTACTGAAACAGTCACACTGAGAAACCAACATGCCCAGAGACACGAACACAGATTTTAATTAATTTTGCAGGCTACAGGTTTCTTAATTATTGATCTACTTGCTTGTTTTAATTGTTGTTTTAATATGTTTTTTTTTTTTTAGGACGACATTTTTTTTTGGCACTTAGATTTATTTTAAATGTAAAGTGTGTTACAAATAAAATCTATTATTATTATAATTTATTATTAACACAGATCGGCAGATTTCACACCTGGAGGGGTTTCTCTTGGTCCAAATATTACGCATTAAAATCCCAGTATCATCAGGAGGAGCATATATGGGTGTCACACGTGGAATGGGGTTGCCAGTTAGTGACCTGTGACCAGAGTGATTTCACCACCAATTCCTACTGGGGCTGGCTGACCCTGCTTTCTCAATTATATGTTTCTTGGAATAAAATTATCTATTAAACATGTAAAAATGTTTAAATAAATAATAATAAAACATAACTGTAGCACAGGCTCCATTGCTACATCTCTCCTTGTGTGCAGCTGCTGCCCCCTAGTTGTGAAAGGTTGTAAGTGACCACATCAGGCACTGCCGCACTATGTCCACAGACACGTTCTGTAAATAGTAAAAAACTGCCCCAAAACAAAGAAACAATGAGGGGTAAAGTTTAAAGTTGCTAATTAAAAGTTCTTATCTGCACATTTTGTTTGCAATAGTGTTTTATAAAATATTCTTGTATTGTATACTAATGTATGGGAAAAGGGCTATTTGACGCATCATCACTTAAGAGTCATTAAATGTTCAGACATCCACATCCTACTGCGCCGAGCAGAGGTACCCTCTGTCTCCCTAAACGATTTGGGAAGCAGTTGTACGGTCTGTCCTGTTCTCACGCAGTGAAGTTCGAGCAGAAAACAAAGTCATTCTGTTAGATGCAGGACAACGAGGACCCTGGGTGTAGATCACAGCGTTCAGCAGATTATAAAGTCGGTGAACCGTTCAGGATCACAAAGAGCCGCGTTAAGTGCAAAGTAAATCCGAACGTGAATGAAATAATAAACCATAATAAAAGCAAAATAATTGAAAAAAAACACACTGCAACAATGTGCTGGGGTGGGGGTAGATCTTCCAGGGTGCGCCTGATCATTCACCATACCGGTGATACTATTCACTGTATCACTGTACAGAACGACTCATTTTCACTGAGCACAAGCAGGCCACACCACTGTATGGTGCCATCTGCTCAGACCGGCATTACTAATGCGTGCTGACGGGGATATGAACAGGAAGTCAGCGTTCTGGGAGAAACTTCCAGAACATACCCTACTGGCCACCTGCAGCTTGGCCAGGCTCTGAGACAGACAAGTGTTTGTAACGCATTTCTTTCCTTCGGTTTCTCGGCGTCGAGTTGGAGAAAGTTTCGACAGTGTGCCCTGAGCGTTCCTCGTGGTATGGTGCTGGGTTTGCGAAATCTACTGCCAGGACCGTTAACTAGCACTAGGGTTACTCACTTGTGCTGACTGACTGACAGGGTTCTTGCAGGTTTCAGCAAGTCAAATTTAAGACCCTTTTAAGACATTTTAAGACCATTATGAGTAAAATTTAAGACCAACACGATGCATTACTAGAAACATTCGAATGATACCAGAATTTCTCATATTTTATGTCACTCATATCCTTAGCCCAACATCCACATGTCATATGTGTTTACAAAGTGCGTTTTAATAAGTTCACATGTGTTTAAAGCATGTGGGAGTGGTATTTTAAGGCTTAAACTATAAAAAAGTTTATTTATATGGTCTTTCTATATCGCGGATTTTCACCTATCGCTGATGGGTCTGGAACGTAACTTCCGCGATAGGCGGGGGATCCAGACCCACCAGCCATAGGTGAAAATCCGCGATATAGAAAGATCATATACATAAACTTTTTATAGTTTAAGCCTTAAAATATATAGTGATCCCCGCCTATCGCGGAAGTTACGTTCCAGACCCATCAGCGATAATGAAAACAACTGGAATCAGCTGATAAACACGGGGAATCCACACGGGGTTAACGAGGGGGCATGGCACACGGGAGGAACGGACGAGCGGGGCAGGACATACTGCACTTTTAATCAGATTTTTTAGATTTTCTAAGCAATTTTTATTCAAATAAGTTTTTTTTTCCCCATCTCTATTTTGCTTTTTTTTTGTCTTGGTTTAACTTTTTAAAATCTTGTTTTTATAAAGCATATTAAATAACCCCTGTGTATGATGATAAAAACTTGCCTTACCATAAGGAGACCGAGAAACGTTCTCCTCAAAACACACGAACAACTAAAAACTATATGCTGGAAACCAAGACATTCACAAGGTAACTCCATGAAAAGCTCTGTAAAAGTAGAAATGTGTTTATTTTAATTATAATTTAAGATAACGTGAGCCAACTGGCTAGTAGTTGCCTTTTAACTGAAAAAATTCACTCCAGTCATTAGAGAAAAAAGTTACTACATCAAAACATTTACATTGCAATAATGTATGGCATGAAACAAACTTGTAATTATGTCATTCAGTAATACAAATAATAAAACAACATACCGTTCACATTGGCCTCAAGAACTAAGTTAGCGCTTGATTCCCCTGCACTTCCTGTTGTAGCTGAGCGTGCACCTGACGTCAGTGGCTGAAAGTGCACGTTCAGCAGCCAGACCCTTCTCAAACTGTTGTTTGTTTGCTTAGCTGCAGTGATCACGCGATGGGATTTGTAGTTTTATTACCACGCAGACACCCGTGCAGACCAGAAAACACAACCAACGGATTAGTTTTACAGCGATATACTATTTTATTTTCTGCAGACAGCGCTTTTTGGGAATGAACGGAGGTAAGAATTTTAAGACTTGGGTATATTGAATTTAAGACCTAGGATGAAAATCTGCGCATTTTTAAGACATTTTAAGGCCTTAAATGTAACTTTCTGAATTCAAGACTTTTTAAGACCCCGCGGGAACCCTGGACTGAACTGCAGGGTTCAGCCTACACCTCATGGCAGTACTAGTGATGGTTTTAAAAAAATTTTTTTTAAAAATCACATTGGCCACTACATCCAATGCATCCATACCTGCTTATCCTAATCAGCGTCGCCGGGGTCCAGAACCTATCCCAGAAGTTATGGGAGCAAGACCGGGAACTACCCAAGATGGGGCACCAATCACACTCACACACACCATTCACACACCTATTGACAATTTGCTAACTCCAACTAGCCTCAGCATGTTTTTAGGCTGTGGGGAAAACCAGAGGAGGAAACCCCACAATGACACAATGAACATGCAAACTCCACACACATGGAGCCATGGTGGAGTAAATTTAGTCTGCGTCCCAGACAGCCTTTGAAAGATGACTTTCTACAAGTCTGCAATTTGCTATAAACAGATTATAGTCAGGGAAGCAAAACGGGTAACGTTATAGTCTCAGATCTCCAGGGGTTTGAATCCTACCCAGGACGGGCCCAACCCTTTTCAGGGTCCTAAGAAAAAAATAACCTAGTTGCCATTTGTCCATTCTTACTGGCTGCTCAAATGCCCCCCCTGGTGGCTGTCGGGTTGTAAGCAGCTGCTTAGTTTGCTAAAGCCTGAGTCCAGCCCTCAGCCACCCCTGACTGTGTGTGAGCAGTTTTCTTCAAGTCCAAAAACAGCTGTTGCAAAATTGCTGCTCCTCTTTAAAAATATTCACTAATATTCACTTTGTTTGCATGAAAATGTCAACCCCAAAACAAACCACACGATTCAATTTTAAATAGACTTTTAAAACATACAAATAAATTAACACTTTGTACAAAGCAGAGCACTGACAACAAATGAAACCAAACAGAATCACAATACATAGAGGTATAACAAGATATTAGTAATCAGTTCAGTTAATTAATAACCAATGAAATGCTTTAAACATTCCCTAACATGTGAAGTACAATATTTGATTAATGCAAATCCCACTTTCATGAAGTCTTATAAAAAAATGTGTTAGAGGAAAATTCATAAAATTGAGTGTTCAGAAAAATATTTTAATAAACAAATGAGCTGCAGTATCCTCTGAATATCAACCACCTTTAGACTTGTATGAAATATATAAATCTTTTTATACTCAGGGAGTGTCAAATGCCAGCATGACCTAACTGTGTTCCAAACCAGCTAATCTGACGACTCATTAAAAGCCACTTCAAAATTAAAGTAACTTAAAATTCTTTAAATCAAAAAAAAAAAAAAAAACTGACAAAAGCAAAACCGCTGACAAAGGATAAATTATTTGCATTTGGAAATGCAGTGATTCCTATCCATGTGTTCATGGGTCTGAGAGAGAACACGGAATGAAGTTTGGTTAAATTTCGCTAAATAAATACTTTCTGGTGTATTTATTTAGCGAATCGGGGGGGGGAACTTACAGCAGCCCAGATGTAACTGATTGTCAGAATGACATTGATGTCTGAAGCTGAAGCAGGACGACGCTGCTAGGGGATGCTGGGAAACGGGATCTTGGATCATCCAAGTCTCCTAATAAGTTACAAATGATAGCAACACAAGCACTCTGTAGGTACCCAAATTGCTACTAGTTTGGCTTTGAAATGACAAGACCACTATGCAGAACCAACAAGCCGAACGGCTCATTACTGAGGACACTTGGTTCACAGTTGTTCTAGACTGACACTAATCCATGGCTAATACAGTTTATGCCACGATTAAGCCACACCCACAAAAATACCCAGTATTTCAAGTACTACCCTCCGATTCTACTTCTCAATATTTTCCACAGAACTTTAAATGTCACAATATTTAGTCACGTCGTTTTTCATGGAAATTGGAGCCGTCTGCTTTCTTTATAACGCTACAGTTTTGTTTTTTTTTGCTGTAAAATGCTGTAATCTCACTCCAGAGCATATCTTGTCAACCTAAACTCCATTATGGTAAGTGGAAAAAGGCATTTTAAGCAACCGTGTCCCAGCTGAAATGTTCCGTAAATCGTCCTCGACGTCAGCCGCCCCCTGCGGTTCGGGGCCCGGCCCCGGCGCCTAGGGGTCGATGAATGACACCATGATGTAGCGCGTTCCCTGGGTGGTGGGGAGCCCCTCATGGTAATGCGTCAGGCGGCCCGGGTGCATGAAGGACCAGCCCTTCCGGGGGGTCTCCACCTGGCAGTTGTACCGCAAGAATCGGGACCCACCTCCCTAGAGACCACAGACAGAGTCAGACACACACAGGCTGTTACACAGCCACTGAGAAACTTAACCTGCACAGAGACACAAGACATATCAGTTAACATATATCTGTATAACCGATGTCCGTGAAAAATCAAGACACAGTCAATATTGGTCGATACTGCTGGCCAATTTTTAAACTTAATCAATATTCAAATTAGCAGCACCAGAGGTACAACATCTAAAACAATGGAGACGATTTCTCTGGACAATAAGTAATTTCTCGGAGCGCAGGACGGCGGATTTTGCCGGCTCATTTACGTTTACATATTTAGCAGATGCTTTTGTCAAAAGCTACATAGAAGTTTGGCAAATAGCACATTACATGCAGTCAAGGAGTCGACTAAGTGCAGCTAGGCTGAGCTTCCAGTTAATGCCTGGATGCGAGGGGCACAGGAACCAAACGTCAGTGAGTCTCCCAGTCTGCTTGGCTGATGTCTCACGGTCTGAATTATACGATGAGGATGCTAAACGCAATTCACGGGACGTTAAGTAGTCAATGTCACTGATATCAGCTTCACTGCAGATCTCTGGCACTCAAACTTGAGCAGGTTTTCCTTATTAGCAATATGTCAGTATTGGCCAAAATTTCCACTTCGGTGCTGCACGTTCCCTAAAGAGCAGTCTCTGAAGCTGAGAGGCCATCCATCTGAAGCCAGTTCTCCAACAAGGTTGTTATATTACCCAAAAAAATATCAAAATGTCATACATGCTATTTATACACAAAATTCCTTTTCCTTCTGAAAAAAATTCTGCTGGAGATGCATCAAGTACTTAGCCAAATTACTAACATGGGCATTATTTTCACAACCCTCTATTCTTCAGGTTGGTACTTTATAATTCAGCTGCCCAGTCTTTCCCTGCCCCCCCCCCCATCACCATGCAGACTGTATAATTACATAACTATTGAGTTACATCTGACGCTCTGCATAATTCTTTTACTCTAAAAGCATGTGTGATATTGTTACTTTGGGGCAAAACTGCCTGGAGAGCATCATGGTCGGCTTGCAGCTGACCTCACATGAACCGCTATGGACTCAGAGAAGCTCCGCGCCGCGGTCAGGCGTAAGCAGGCCAGGACGCAGCCTTTGCCAGCTCCAGCCAATCAGCACGCACCTGGAAGTCCTTGCCCTTGTGGTTCAGGGCGATGTTGATGGTATAGGTGGATGAGTCGTGATGGGGCCTCAGAAAGGGCTGCTCGTCAGGTCGGTATCGCACCACGAAGTTCATTATGGCACGGGCCTGGACCAGGACCAGGAAAGGAGGGGGGTGGTTAACAACCGGCCAGGCAGGGGGGGGGGTCAGAGTTGTGGCTTCAACGCTGCCGTAACATGAAGCACTGCTTGGAAGATGGAGCTCTCTGCTTACCTGCAACTGACCTTCCAGCCTTCATTCACACTTAGTAAGTAAACACTAATTAATGACGACGTTTGTACACAAAAGACAAGGAATTTAGTGCTCAGCACCCCTATTGGTGTAAAATTCCACGTCTGCCCCCAGGCTGCGTCCCATTGGTCTACTTGGCTAACAGCAAAGCACCGAATGCTATCAAACCTTATTCACGACTCACACTGATGACACGGCACAGGCTTAAATTTTAATTGCATTAATTGGCAAGGTAGTTAGATGTGCCCCAGCTCTCTGCGCTACGGCGAGAAGGTCGCATTTAAGACCAGCTGACGTTGGAATCAGCAGGCCGCAGTTCCGGCCTCACCTTTGAGTAGTATCCAGGGTACAGCTTCTCCACCACGGGCACGATGTACTCCTTCAGGTACTTGAGCCACTCCTTCTCAAAGCCGATCTGGTTCATGTGTATGTCCACGGTGGGCACGTTTTCATACCCACCGGCCAGACGTTCATCCTGTAAAACAAACAAACAAACAAACGTTATTCACCTACGTATTTACATACATGCAGTTAAAGAAGTAAAGATTTACGTAAATAAAGCTACCTTGTGCTTTCCGCCTGACCACTCGCCGTGGTCCTCCATGGTCTCCACCAGCTCGTCGCACATCCTGTCCGAAAAGGCTGGGAACCAGTAGACGTCAGGGCAGGGCTAGACCAGAAAGAGGGGAAGGCGGACGGCCCAAAGAGTGAGAACAGAAGAGGACAGACGGAGCCAGAAGGTCCCGTTTTGACTCCGGCTCCAGTTCATACCTGTTCAACAACATCCGTGTCGTCATCGAAGATCGCAGCGTACTTATCATGGATGTATTTCTCTTTCCAATCCTAAAAAAAAGGATTTCTCTTTTAGGGAATCATCTTGTTCATCCGGGTAATGAGGGAAAGAGAGCATAAGAGAGCGGATGACGCTTACCACGGGGTTGTCAAAAATCTGCCACATGTCAGGGTACAGGTGGCTCGTGTTGTAGTTGGTCGAGGCGACGAGGCGTCCAAACTCGTCCCGGTTTGAAACGTACATAAAGACGCCCTAAGAGGGGCAGGCACAGGGGAACCAAGAGACGGTGAGATGGAGGATAACAGGCAGCTCTCACCTTATGCGAAATCGACTTACGTCAATGTGGAGTTACGCAAAAAAAAAAGAAAACAAGATATGCTCTGATGAAGCACCAAGACAAAAAACAACTGAATATATTTAAACTTTATCTTGTCATGCATTTGATATGTGTTCTTTAGTACATATTACTAGCGCATTTTTTCGCTATTGCATTTCGCTATTGCTGTCATGAATGGTATGGGAAGGTAAATCCGACTTGTGTTAAATATGACTTACGTAACTGTTTCTGGAACAGATTACATTTATCAATCGCAAACTGCCTTTAATGGCCGAAACGCCTAGAGAGCAAGAAAGGGGAGGGAAGTCCCCAGGGCAGAGCAGACACACCTGGGGAGGGAAGCCCCCAGGGCAGAGCAGGCACACCTGGGGAGGGAAGCCCCCAGGGCAGAGCAGGCACACCTGGGGAGGGAAGCCCCCAGGGCAGAGCAAACACACCTGGGGAGGGAAGCCCGCAGGGCAGAGCAAACACACCTGGTCTCGGACGGCGCTGCACAGAACCATGTCGGTGTCCATGCCGTCCTGCATGTAGAGGCTGACCTGGGCCAGGCGGGTTCGCATCGTCACCCCGCTTATCAGGTACACCCCCGTGATATAGGGAACGTTCCAGACCCCTCTGAGAAGGGAGAGGAGTTAAAAAAAACAGACACAAGGGAGGGGAGACACAGTGCTTCATGGGTAAAGGAAACAAAACTAATCATGTGGTATGTACATATAGGGGGGCACACACACAGACACACACACACACAGACACAGAAACACACACAGACACAGAAACACACACAGACACACACACACACACACATATACTCACATGCGTTTGCCCTGGACGATCTCGATGTAGTCTTCTGACCGGGAGTAGTATCCCTCGGGGCTCAGTGCACCCCAGAAATTGGACCACAGTTTGCCATGGCGAGACAACATGGGAGCAATCACTGGCCTGTCATGAAGGGGGGGGGGGTGTCAGTCATGTGATTTACAGATATATGTGAACATATTAGTTTGAGCAGTAACTTCTTAAAGCTGGACTCTCTCGTTTTTGGGAGAAGGTCATATGTGAGACTCACAGAAACATAGAAGTATGAGGTGTTAAAAATTAAAGGTGACCGAATACCTTAATGATGCACAAATATAGCCTGATACATCCCCAGAAACCGATGTAATTGACATTATGGGCAGCTCTCTACTTAAACAGATCAACTTAAATAAATGTAGACTTGCACAAAAAAATGTGTGGAATACTTGCACGTGTAAAGACACACACAGAAAGCGTAACAGCACCTGCGTGGGCGGAGTCCCCTAAGGACTCAGGAGGAGCTGATCATCAGATCTCACCACCCCTCGATTCTCAAGGGCCGACTCACTTGTTCTCCTCGATAAGGATCCTCAGGGTGTCCGGGTTGATGAGCGCCACGTCGGAGTCGATGCTGAAGTAGTAATCACACGTGGGGTCCTTACGACATGCCTCCCTGTCAGGGGGGGGGGGACGGCTGGTCACACGGGAGCCAGTGGGCTGAGACTCAGTTTCTTACAGATCACCGAGGTACCATAGATCCAGGGGTGGGGTCACAGGGTCACTGGGCCCATCTGAAAGCCAACTGGCCCCTGGAGCGCCCCCTCCTGTCACTGGCCGATTCAAAACATACCACTGGTTGGCCTCTCTGTATGAATTATGGTCCCTCCTATGTCTGACCAGTTAAAATAAAATTTTAAATCCTAGAACAGCCCTTGCATAGACCCCAGAGCTATCGCTCCTAAAGTCATGTGTGCAGCACCTTAATTTCACATTCTGGTCTTTCATACAGTTCTGCAGCGGAGCTGCAGGTGGCGCTGTGGTTAAGGCTATGGATACAACCAGAAGGTTGCTAGTTGGCTTTTGCTATAGGATGAAGAAGAACTTAAGCTGAACTGCTCCACACAAACGGAAGCTTTCATGTGGCATGTAAACCTACCCCAACTGAAACCTGCACACCTGAACATTATTTTGGCTGGAACGCCTTTATTAGAGAGCTACCGGGGCTGGGGGAGTCGGGAGATGGACGCCATCTTGTAACTCACACGGCCATCGTCCGAGCCTCGTCCTGCTGCAGGTTCTCTTCAGGCCCCACGATCCGGGCATCTGGGAACAGAGTCTGATGTTCCTGCCAGAAGTCCTGGATGTGCTTCTCGTGGTAGACGACCTGGGAGGAGCACGAGGGAGGAAGACGGTGAGAAGAACTTCGGGAACGTAGAATCACAGATATCTGACGTCCACTTCATCACATGTAACACTTGTGCCTACTGGCTGAGACGATAATCCCAAACGTCACGGTCATGTTCCCATTTTCACAAATTAAACTCGTCTCCAAACCTGCCTATCTCCTCTATTATTTCCAAGATCTCGTGTAGCTCCCACAAACTTCAGCTCTCCTCAAGACCCAAGGCAGAGCAGCCCCTTAAGGCCTGGAATCATGCTGATCGTCCCCTTTTCCAAAATCACTATAAACTGACGTCTAATTTGAAGCTGGATGCCCAAGTTTGTTCATAATATAACATGCAAGATCTTACTAGGGAATCGTACAGATTCAGTGTGACCGAAATGCTCCAGACCCTCGTCACCATTATGGGACCTGCAGTAACTCTTAAATAAGCTTTTAAATGTCCCCCACTGAGCATCAGTTCTCTCCATCACAACATCTAACCCTCCACTGCGTCAAACTACGAAATTTGTGCAGATTGCAAAAACAAGACAGATATCTTCTGCTCTCTATGTTATTGTTTTACTTTGCAGTCCCATTACATTACTGGAATAACTATGAATAATGACAATCCCTATTAAATTAAATCCCTATCAGAGATCCCTATTAAATTGTTCTGTTTTTACATACTTCATTTCAAGCATAAGCTTAATCTTGGAAGCAGGTGGAAAAGCACTGCACTACACAGATGAATAGTGTATGACTGTGAGAAAACTTGAAATGGCGCAGATTATGCTGACACACACATCCACTTCCTGTTTGCAGCAGGATTACGCAGATACACTTCCTGTTTGTTGCAGACTATGCCTGCACTCACTTCCTGTTTGAAACTCAGCACTGTGTCAGGGTTGCACTTGAATGGGGAGGACTGGAGTAACCTTTCACAAAAACTGCACCGTCGAAAAACCCTCATACACAAAATCCAACGATATACAACAACATCCACCTCTTTATATTCAGAATGAACTTTGGAAACTGTGAAAGACATCTAGTATAACATGACCTGAGAGTGGTGTATAGGGCATAACACAGGCTGTACCTCCTAGTTTTGAGCACTAGAGTGCAGCAGGCCAATTTCCAAACTTTGATTATAATATCAGTGAAGCTGAAACTAATGCAGAAGTAAACAATTGATCTATTGATTATCTATTGATTATAGAAGCCGTCATGTACACCAGGGAAGCTACAGAGTAGTGTTGTGAGCATAAGCATCAAAGTAGACATGGGCTGTATCTCCGACGAGGACGAGGAGTCCAGGCTGGGGTGCCCTGGCAGCGCCTGCCGAAAGGTCCGGCTCGGGAGGGACTGACGTTGTTGTGAATGAAGAGCCTGATCCGGTCCAGGGGGTAGTTCATCGTGGTGAGCCTGTGCAGGAACTCGGTCAGGAAGGGTGTGGGCTGCTCGATGAACACGGCCACATGCACCAGGGGCATCTCCTCGTCCTGTGGGAGACACAGAGGGGCACAGCGCGGCGTCAAGCTGTGGCCAGGGAGTGGCGCACTTGAGCAGGCCTAGGAACATGCACTGGAACTTAGCGACTCCACAAACAGGATGTGAACGTCACAAAATGGTGAGGCGACACCGCTCACTATTCGTCGACACTTGTCACATTAATATTATAATTTATTTGTTTAACCAAAGCAGCGTAACTGAGGTAGCAGACAATCGCTGGAGCAATTTGGGGTTAAGGGACTTGCTCTGGGGGGCTTGGGTGAATGTGCGCGCTTACCGGGACGTCGCTGAGGTCCAGAAGATCGTCGTCACAGACGCCACAGCCCTCCTCGTACGTCCAGGCCGTGGGCACGTAGTTCCCGAGGTAGTTCAGCTGCAGCTGCGAGAACAGAGGAGACAGAACAGAGTAGAACAGTGCTTCCCAATTCGATCCTCGAAGACCTACAGCCGGTCCACGTTTTAGCTCCCTCCGAGCTCCCTGCCAGAAGGTCCACGTTTTGGGAGCTGGGAGGGAGTGAAAACGTGGACCGGCTGTAGGTCTCCGAGGACTGGTTTGAGAGACACCGGTATAGAGGATGGGGAACATTCCCATGATTCACGCGAACAAAAGCATGTTTCAAACTAACCCTAACAAGTAAGAATTCAACCTTAATTATGAGCAAATGCCCCAATCCAATTTTTTTATTGGTTAAATTGTATTTTTAACCATCTGCTTGCATTGTAATGCACGGTAGGATCACTATTCGCTTACCTTGGTGGGTCCGTTGCCATGTATGATGACAGGGAGGGTGTCATAGGCCACGTTCCGGGCCCGGACCAGCTCCTTCTCGAATTTCAGAACCACCTCCTCTGTGAACATGGGGGACAGGAGTGTAGACATGGAGAAGCAAGACAGAGCAAAGTGTCACTACTGGCAAGTGACCACCGATGGAGGCGAGTCACAGCAGGAGCTCAAGACTACGAGTCACAGAATTTCACTGTCATGGACAGAGGTAGCAGTTGATTAAGGGAATGGTTTGAATAAATGGGGGCACAAAACAGATCGTGTACAGTGTGTGGAAACGCAGAACAGAAAAGCTTGACAAACTGAAAGACCAGCAGGCTGCAGGCGAGAGACTCGAGCCTCACCGAGCGCCCCGTTGAGGTTCTGAAAGATGCGTGAGCGATGATCCAACGTCATATTGAAATTTTTCTATAGGGAGAACCAAATGAGTGACTTTCGCACTTCTGGGATTAGACAGCTCTGACACAAACTCCTAAATAAGCAAGAGATGCTTTACAGCGTGATTCAGGGAGGTCATGAAAGACATTAAGGCAGGTTAGGAGGCCAACAACAACAACAACAACAACCAAAACAAAAACAAATAGTTCACAACCTTGTCATGAATAAGCAGTTAGATGATAGATGGTTGGACGAATGGATGGATAATCACAATGAACTAGACTGGATTAACAATCATAATGAACTAGGACAGATAGGGATGTTCCCACTAAGCAAACCAGTGGTTAGAAACCCCCCTAAGACCCCCCCACCAGCTCCTACCCGGTGAGCCGGGTCCAGATAGATCCTGGTGTAGAACAGCTGGTCGTCATCATTGTCCTTGTACTTCCACTGCTGCACGATGGCGCTGAGATCGAGGGCGTAGCCTATGAAGCCTGGAGCAGCGGGCGACACAGAGCGTCAGTCTGCGTGGACAGGGGCCCCGCCCCACCCTGCCAAACCCCACCAAACCCCGCCCCGCTGGCACTCAGCGAGCTCACCTCCAGAGTTAAGGTAACGCTTCCCCGTGTGGACGGGAGGATACTTGGACGCCAGCCTCTGGTCAGGCCAGCAGAAGCCCTCTGCGGAGAAGACCACTCGGTGACCCATCCGGGAGAACTTCCAGAGCAGCTCCTGGGGGCCACTGGCCAGGATTACATCATAGCTACAGGGAGGCAGAGGGCGCCAGTGAGCAACAGACCAAAGACCACATACAGCACACAGAGAGATGCAGTTACATCAGTATTCCCTGTGAACATGCATCAGCTGACTGGAAACAGCATATAGCAGAGATGAATACCATCATGCAGCTAGTGCCTTCCTAAAAAGGACACCCCCCCCAAAAAAAAATATATATATTGGATTATATTCCAGGGAACAAGACACTTAAGACACATCAGCAGTCAGTTTTGGCCCCATACGATGTCATTATTTAAACATACATCAGATGATAAATGTGAGAGATTAGAAGTTTGCAAGGATTTAGAAGGCTTAAGGCATTTTACATAAATACAAAATATAATCAATTCAAAATATTGCAAAGGCCACAATACAGCAGAATTTTCTAGAGAGGATTCTCCAGACTGCCATTTCGGGTGGAAAGTAAGGGGTAGGCAGCAGTGTGATTTTGGGGCTTTGCCCAGTCCTATGAAGGATTTCCATTGCCATCCTGCTTAAGGTTGCATTCGTCTGCTTTTATTAGGGAAGAGAGGGGACCACAAAGACCACAGCAGACAGCTCTCTACTGAAGAGTGATTCATTTCACAGTGGAGCACTACGTCCTGATTAAAGGCTCCAGGCTGGGGAACGGACTTCTAAAAATTCCACTGCTCCTTCTACTGATGCAAAATAAGGCATCTCATCAACACAACCGACCAACTCCGCACCGCAGAGAGACGACAACAAAACGGACACTTAAAAAAACAACCCTGCGTTCCATTGAAGGCCCTGTTTTTCCTCCTTACATTCGCTCTACAGCGGCACCTGCTCGCAGCTGAGCCGCTACAGGATTACAGAACTGGGAAACGGCAAGATCCTCTGGGCCAAAAACCCAGCGAAGCAAAAAGCGGCCAGCTAACAGCACATGCATCAGAGGACTTGGATGCGAGTCCACCATTTCATTTGGCATGATGACTGTCATTGAGGAGGAGGATTATGGGAAATGGCACAAGTGTCCTTTCTGGATGGAGGACGGCGTATAGTGTAGAATAAGATTACCCCAATGCAAGAAAAACAAGATTTTTGGGACCAGTCCAATACAGAATAATGTGACGTCTCAGATATTAACTTCACCAAACAAAGCCAGGCAGAGCAGAATATTCAGGAAAGCAGCCATGGAAGCACAAGAGTGTGACAGGGATAAAGCCACTATTCATCACTCTGAAGGCCAGCGGGGCAGACTGGCAGCCCCCCGGTAACCAGAGAGAGAAGGGAGAGGAGGAGGAGGAGACACGAGGATCGGGAGAAAGCAGTGACCAGAACAGAATCTCTCCAGGGAGGCTGGTACAGAAATGAGCTCAAGAGAGGAAGTTATTGGGAACTGTGCTGGGAAAGAGAAACGGAGACCCCAGGGACCATCAAACGTCTTGTAGGGAGCTGCAGAGCCCTGTCTTTTCCTTAAGAAGCCATTTCCACTCTCCCCCGGCGCAGATTCAGCATCCTCTATAGCAGCCACTGACCTGTCCACAAATAGGATGACCAGGTCCTCCCTGTCGCTGTGCCGCTGAAGCTCCTTCTTCAACCAGCGCACTTTCTGGCCCCCTCCAACGGTACGGGCCACGTCCCCACCTTTCCATTCCTCACCCAGGCCCAGAACCTGACCATGGACACAGCGAGGATTGTGAAGTCGGCATGTTTAAAGACAACCATCAGCAGCATGAAAGAGGGGGGCGGGGTTGTGATACCTTCATGGTGTAGTTGAACTGCCGGGCAGTTCTCATGAACCTGTTGAAACCATCGGTCTCCTCAGTGGCAACGGTGATGACCAGCAGGTTCCCTGAGATCAGGAGACACGAGAGAGCATGTATGTGTCTGCTGAGTCAGCAGGAAAATAAAATGAACAAGCAAACACAACAATGTTCTGTGTACAGGCACGGAGCGTGGCTCAGTGGGTTAGGAAGCTGCGTCTGTGATCAGAAGGTTGTTTGTTCTAATCCCAGGGTCAGCAGAGTGATGTCACCATTGGTCACCTGAGCCCCCTTAAGCCCAAATTGCTCCAGGGACTGACTGACCCCACTTTCTCAAAGAAAAATGCACAACAATTTGGATAAAGGCATCTGCTAAATAAGGCATAAATAAATATATTGGTTGGCAAAGGTTCCATCAACACAATGACATTTTAATGTTTTCTTTTTAAAAACAATATGACAGAAAGAAACAGACAGAGGGCCTACAGAACAGCCTTAAAACTTACTGCTAACCAGACACAACCAGCTAACCAGTATCCACCATGACTTGTTTTACTATGTAAACTAATAAAGCAGCAGTTAATTTGCAGGGCCCCCTGACACTGACCGGGAAAAAGAGAAGATGGGTGAATGGGTAAAAATCCAGGCTACTCTCTCCACAATACCATATTCTGGCTTGAGGTCACTGGACAAAATGTTTCCCCAAATTATTAACATCATTACTACCAGGACTAGGTAAGAATGTCTTAAAGCCCATGAACCCATAAGCCATGGGTCACACGAAGGCCTCAGCCCAATCATGAACTGATCTATTCTGCGGAACAGGACACACCCCGCTGGTCAGTCTCTTCGGACCTCTGAGAAGCACGGGAGCGTCGCTGTACATGTACTCTTCGCCTCGGACGGAAACCACATCTTCAAGCCATGACTGTGAGTTTCAGCCGGAGCTGAGTGAGCTTTGGAGGACGAGTGCAACACAGCAGAATGATACAGGCACCAGAGTCGATTTGCTGGAGCAATTTCAATGGAGTCCTACAAAGATGAGACTTCAACCTTGCACCTACTGGCAGGACAAGCCTGCATCTAACTACTCTCCCGCCAGTCACCTTCCTGATACAGCTAAAAATATTTATCAGACGAGACTTAATATGTTAAATACACATATTTCTGAGCTTTGGTGATAGAAATCTACAATTAAGAATAAACTTGTATCACACATCTGAGATTCTGTTAAACAAATGATGTATGTTGCCGGATCTCTTAACATATTCAGGAAACATTTTACCCGGTACCCCTGAAGCCGCACACGTTTTAGGGTGGGGGTAGGAGCTGTACACGTGTATGTAGGGGGAGGGTCCGACGTAATCAATGCTCCCCATTGTAAGTCGTGTTTCATTCAGTAATTTTGTCTTTTTACTCCTAAACTCCTATTACTACAGTATAAACATAAGGCAAGACAAAAACGGTATCCCTAATGGCTAGAGTTACAGCTATATATGTCGTAATACTCTTAATCTATAAGTGATAGTAATACTATTTCTGATGAGAACTTATTTTAGTTACATATCATTCAGACAGTTTAAATCCAAACCAGCTTTTAATACACGCCAGTAATCCGTTTTTCACATGTACTACATATGAGGTAACTGATTTTCAAGTACAGGCAAACAAATGCCTCACGGCCGTTTCCGTCCGGTTATTTTATGTTTTACATGACTTAATATTTATTGAGACGCAGATAGTCAGCTGGCAGCGCCGGTGACACGCAGCAGCCGCAGCTTATCGATCGATACTTAATAAGCGGATGCGCACGCACAGCTTGCGGGGTAACTGCACATCGCTATGGCTGCGCCGAGGAGTAAAATGCGACATGGATGGAAGCATCTGAAATCCCTTAAACCACAACAATACCTGGATCTAAGGTCCTTCTGTCCGCAGCCGTCGCACAGACTGTAAAATAAAGGAATGACACACAGATCGCATTAAGTAGCGAGTGCATTGCTGTCCTTCGATACATTCTTGTTGTTTTAGTCTAAGTGTACAACCCTCCTAACTCCTGTTCCCGTCTGCCCTTCTTGTAGACCCTAAGTTTGGGAAATCTTCTATCATGGCTCAGAAAACAAGCCCCACCCCTCTACTAACCACCAATAGGCTTTAGCAAAATATGATTGACTGCGAAGTCCGCCAATACAAACATAAGAGAGTCACTGATAGCCCAATCGTAACGGGACAAATGGATGATTTTTCTAGATGTCCCCTGGCCAAGGGGTTTTGCTGCCACGTCTCAGGAATGCTGGAGGGGGGAGGTGGAGGGAGAGTGCATGCCTTTACAGGGGGCATCCCTCAGTTACGTCACCGCGACGGCCGTGCAGGATTGTCACTTTAAAGCCGAGCTTATATCAGGCTTGGTATTGTTTGATACACAGCAGGAAAACTTCTGTTAGCTAAACACGCTCTCTGTTCTGTATCTGACAGGAAGACTGACTGTAATTTAAAGTCAGTGCGTGTTGAACGGTTTACACCAAAGTTTTTATCCAATGAGACGACTAACTCAGTAACTGCAAGTTCGATTGTATCGATTGTAGTTGACATTTGAAGTGATGTTCCAATAAACAAGAAACACGATAGAAGAACATTAAGTGAAGAAAACAATCCCATCCAGTGTGTTCTCCTGCTTCGTACCCTGTGCTGCCTGTGACCTTATGCTTGAGATGCTTGATCATGAAGGCAACACAGGCAACCGCATATAGTGCCGTCTTCTGAGGAGGCCACTGGAAAGCTTGGATGTGCTCCCACTTCCATGCTGGCTGCCCCATCCTTCCTAGGTGGCATATGCTGCACTCACGGTAAAACTCACTGGATGCGCTGCTGCCTGCCTGCTGCCTGCCTGCTGCCTCCCCCTTCCCCCACTAGGGGGCACACTACACTCGAGATACTGATGTGTTAATGGACACAGTTTAAAGCCTGTATCCGTTCTATAGTTTTTTGGACTATTATTGTTCTTGGTGTATATGTGCATCAGATTTGAGTTCCTTTCAGAAAATGGGTTGGATAACTTTATTGGTGGTTGATGTTGTTCTGAAGGATCTGGGTTAAAATTTCTGTCAATTGTGCCGTTTTTTGAACCATTACTGTACTTGGTGATTTTGTGTGTTGGCTTTTTACACCAGCCTCCCAGAGAGTAGGATGACTCAATTGGTTGGAGATAACTGCTGGTATTCTAACAGACCTAGATGTAGTCCTGCGGTTGGTGGTACGTTTTCTTTATTTTCTAAGACTGTGGGTATTCTTGGTGATTTTGTGCGCAGCTCTATTAGTCAGAGATCGCTATTGTCATGCTGAAGGACCCGTATTTGAACCTGCATGTATTCTGTAGTTTTTTGCTCTATTAATGTTCATGCTGTTTTCATATCTCATTCCGATGCCAGTGAGCCCAAGTGCTCTATAGGTTAGCTGGTTGGAGATCAGTGTTTGTTGGAGATTTGTATGCCATTTGAATGAGTGTCGGCATGGCACACAAGGACGGCAAAGGCAAAGGCATGGACACCAACTCTGCCCAGGCCGTGTGCCGTCCTCAGGAAAGATGGCTGGATCACTGTGTGTCCCGTTAAAATAACAGAAATAACAGGAATTTGATTTGCATGCTGAAAATAAGAAATACAAAGAAAAAATAAACAGAAATCGTCACTTTTCTGTTCCTGTTTGCAGCTGAACAACCAACACCTTCCCTAGAAATACATCTGTACACACAGTCTCTGTTTCCTCTGCCAGGTAAAAACAGCTTCCCAAAATCAGACAAGAACTGACCTTTATGTTTTTCTATGAGGACACACATGTACATATGTGCATGAGTTTGATTGGTGTGAATGTGTACATACACTGTGTGTATGTATGCATATATATGTGTATGTATATAATCTGTCATAAGTCTGCATGGCTGTTTTTTTAGTTCATTAAAATTCCATAATATTCCCTTTTCCAGATTGTATCTGTTCATTTTCTGTGTGTGTGGGGATGTAGCTCAGTGGTAGAGCGCATGCTTTGCATGTATGAGGCCCTGGGTTCGATCCCTGGCATCTCCATCTGTCTTTAATAGCTCAGGCAGTGCTGCTGACTTTTAATCTGACGGTCCAGGATTCAAGTCCCTATTCAGGCAAACATCTCTCAGGACAGTATGTGTCTCAGTGGACAAAGCCCATGTGTCATCCTGAAGTAGCTGTTTTAAGCCTTTATCTGTTTTTTGGACTGTTAATGTTCTTGACTGGAAGATTTCAAATTTCAGTTCTTCGTCTTGTTTTCACTGTGCCTGTGGTCAGGTGTCATCGCACAAAGTGCCGCAGTCTGTGCCTCTCTCCTCACTGCATGCAATAAACAGTGAATAAATGTTCCTTATGGCTTAACTGTCCAGTCTTAGTCACTGGGGAGTTTATGTGTACGGGTTATCATTCTGCTCATGCCCTTAACATAGTCACTAAGTATAATATCTCACAGAACTGGTCTTCTTGTGCTTATAAACAGCCTGCAGGATATGTGCCCATTGTAAGCTTCCTGCTCCTGGTCTGGGGCTGTGAGATGGGGTTTATGGAAAAGGCCATGAGACTGAGGAAGTGGTATTCGGGTGATAAAGACATGGAAGGAAAAAAACGCTAATTAAACTTGTACTTCCTGAGCGGTCACTTGGTTTCATAATGGCAGGCAGTAGGTTGGTAGATATACTTTATTGGTCTTGCCGGGGGCGGTGGGGGGAGGAGTGTGGAATTAATTTCCTGGAGCAGTTCTAGGTCAATTCAGCAAGTTTAATAACCACACAATGGTCACACAATAGATGCAACAGGTGATACATTGCACAAGTATAGTATATAGTATAAAGAATATACACATGTATAGTAAACCAGGCTAAACAAATACAGAAGTGCTCTGGCATGGGATCACAGGGGGCAGGGACCGATAAGCATGTGTGTTGCAGTTAGCAGAGAGGAGCCTCAGTAGTCACCAAAGTGCACGGTACTGGGATCAGGCACTGACACCAGGCACTGATTTCAGGCAGTGGCATCAGACACTGGCATCAAGCACTGACACCAGGCAGTGGCATCAGGCACTGGCATCAGGCACTGTGACCAGGCAGTGGCATCAGACACTGGCATCAGACACTGACTTCAGGCACTGGCATCAGGCACTGACACCAGGCATTGACTTCAGGCACTGGCATCAGACACTGGCATCAGGCACTGACACCAGGTAGTGGCATCAGGCACTGACTTCAGGTAGTGGCATTAGACACTGGCATCAGGCACTGACTTCAGGTAGTGGCATTAGACACTGGCATCAGGCACTGACTTCAGGTAGTGGCATTAGACACTGGCATCAGGCACTGACTTCAGACACTGGCATCAGGCACTGACTAATGTGCTCCAAGAAAATAGGGTGAGTTCTGCCCTCATCCTCTCTCCTGTCATGTCTATGGACAGCCCTGTTCCATTATGAAGTTTATTCAGACAATAGACATCTCTATTTGCTATTACCCATTGAAAGCTTCCAGGTCCTGGTCTGGTAGCGGAACCTAAAATCCTGGGTTCCTTTAAATCAGAGCTAGATAAGATTTTAACAACTCTGAGCTGTTAGTTAAGTTCTCCCCAAACAAGCTTGATGGGCCGAATGGCCTCCTTTCATTTGTAAATTTCTTATGTTCTTATATATATTTATCAGATGCTTTTATCCAAAACAACATTTTTTTTTTTTTTGCAAAAGCCTGCAGCATTTGGCAATTAAGGGCCCAACACCGAAGTCACTCTGCCAAGCCTGAGATTTAAACCAGCAACCTTTTGATCACAAGTGCAGGCTTCAGACCCACTGAGCCACACACATTTTCAAATAACTGCAATGACTAACCACCCGCTAACTGTCCCCCATGCTGTTATGTTGATGCTACTCTCACGATTCCCATAAGATCCACTGGAACCGGCCGCCTGTCCGCTGGCGCCTTTTCCCAGTGCATATGACAGCCGTCATTGACGGTGTGCTTTCCAGGCTTCTCAGTAATATTCTTCTAATGGACCATGTAAGTGGATGATTCATTTGTGATATTCATGCAAAAGACTGTTTTGCTTCTAAATCATTTTGATTAAAATATTAATGAGGGCAGGTCACATGATACAAGTAGGGCTGTAAACATATATTAATATATCAGCTTGTAGTGTGTGGCTCAGTGGGCCAAGTTGCCAAACCTGAGACTAGAAGGTTGTTGGTTCAAGCCTGGCCTTAGCAGAACAATTATGTGTCCGTGGGCCCTTGGACAAGGCCTTCCCACCTCCCCCTAATTCCCTGAGTGCAGTTACAGGTGGCTGCCCTTTGCAGCTAAGCTTGCTCTTACCTCTGTCTGATCGATAAAGTTTAATTATTATTATTAGTGCACAGCAATGTCAGTCAATGTTTGTTGACCATTTTAAAACCTCTTCAAAAGTAGACCCACTATTTACATTTTTGGCCAAAGCAATTGGGTGGGGCCTTGCTGAATGGCCCAATGCTGGAATAACCATATAAACCTTGGGATCTGATCCAGCAACCTTCCGGTCTCAGCCACACTCTCCTGACATGCTGAGCCACACCATATTTGCAGTCACCGTCCACTACACCTACACAGACACTCCTCTACTTACGAACTTTCAGACATACGAATGAAGAGGACTGTAAGTTCAAATTGTGTTCATTGGGCTCCCGTTTCCTTTCTGCAACATCAATTTTTTTTTCTGCGCACAAATTCTGCCTTTTGGCCACTACTCCCGCCGTGCAGCAGTGTAGCGTGCGTACTCCCAGCATCCTAGTCCTTTGTACTTGTGTATATCATTACTAACAGACTAAAGTTATTAAAAATGATTGGACAACATTTATTGAAAAAAATGACCTGCCAGGTATCTCTGCCTGCATTCTCTGGGAGACGGCAAAGGCTGTAATACGACGTAGAATAATTTCATATTCAGCACACAAAAAAAAAAAGGAAAAAGCACTCGAGACAGAACTAGAACAGAAAATTAAAACTTTGGAATCAGCACATTTTGCCTCCCAAGAAAAACACCTTCCCAATGAGCTGAGAAAATGTAAAATGAAACTGCAAGAATTAGGAG